AGCGACAGTATGCCCGTGTTTGCTTTGCTCAGATGAGAAAACCACGCATTCCGCATGCGTGGCCTATGCGGATGCGGCAGAGGCTGATGTCCCTCCCCCCCCCCCCCTTCTACCGTCATCACTCGCCTAGGTTTGATTTGATAGCACTATGCTTGCTCGTGCATTTCCATGCTCGCCAGTTCTCTTCCGATGCCATGTATTCTGCCAATCCGTCTTGAAGCGAGCGAGCAGCGCCTGGCCGAAGTCAGAGGAAGGCGCTCGGAAAGAGCGAGAGTGAGTTCCGACTGCGCCGTCTTTTGCCGCGGTGTCCGCCCCCTTGTTCCCAGTAATGCCGGTGTGTCCAGGTAACCAATCAAAGACAATGCGCTTCCCGACCGGTTCGAGAGATGCAATTAGTCACGTGATTTGGTCAACTAGGACGTGATCTGTTTTCAAGCAGTGGATGGCTAGAATACTCAAGGAGTCCCAAAGTATAAGAAACCGCCGCGCTCGTTTCTTCTCCGCAGAGGCCAATGCCTCCTTGATTGCAAACAGTTCAGCGGTAAAAAACGAACATGAAGGAGGTAATGTAAAACCTTTCATCCAGCCGCAACGCACCGCAGCACATCCTGCGTCTGCCCTATGACTTGAACCATCCGCGTATATGCTAAGTTCGGTGTCTTCTAAGCCCCATGGTCAGCGCTGCTCTGATGTAAAGTTTATCGCAAACCTGGGCCTGTTCCTCCTGGGCGCACTTGCCTAGCGCGACATGTAGCCCCGGCTTGGATTTCTGTGTCGAAGATTTATGGGGAAAATCCAGATCCATACCCACGTGATTTCAGCTTAGAGGACTTTCGAACCGTTGGTTAATCCGGCAGATGTCTAAGAGGACTTGAGAACCGCTGGGTAAGCCCAGGATGCCATAGAGAACTTCAGAGTCGTTGGATAAGTCCAGTATATCAAAGAGGGCATAAAAGCCGTTGGATAAAATAATGGATACCAAAGAGAACTTAAAGCCCGTTGGATAAACCCAGGAGACCATACAGGACTCGAGATCCGTTGGGCAAGCCCAGAACACCATAGACGACTTGAGATCCCTAGGGTAAGTCCAGGATGCCTTTCCAGAACTTGAGAGCCCTTGCGTAAGCCCAGGATACCATAGAGGTTTGAGAGCCGTTGGGTAAGTCCAGGACACCTTGACAGAACTTGAGAGCCATCGGGTAAGTCCTTGGATACCATAGAAAACTTTAGATCTGTTGGGTGAGTCCAGGATACCTTAGAAGAACTTCAAAGCCCTTGGGTAAGTCTAGGACACCATAGAGGAGTGGAGAGCCGTTGGGTAAGTCAAGGATACCCATTCGGAATGTTGGATAAGTCCATGGAAACCCATATAGAATGGCCAATGGGTTGGGCAGGTTACATCTTAAGGGAAACTTACGGGCATTGGCAAGACGTGTACGAAATGTCAGGGACATAGTTAAAGAAAGATTGCACAATGTTAGTGCCTCCGCTTCTTTAGGCATGAATGTCTCCATTTACACTACGCATGCAAATGGGCCATCCATGCTAAGTCGACCAACGTAGGGTCACTTTTCACACCCGACCATCTGGGATGTCAACAAAATTTGGTTGTCAAGTTTTCTCTGGCTCTGAATATACTTCCGGGGAAATTAGAGCGATGCGACTAACAACTTTTAGGTGACAGACGTTTTCTCATGTTTCACATTTTAAAAGGTATCTTTAGAGCGAGCGGTATTTACCAAAAGGCTCACCACAGATCCAAAATTCAACAACGGAGCGATATATCTTAAACATGAATATCTCTGACGTAACCACATGCTAGGAAAATAGAAGATATGCTTATGTTAATCACAGGCATAGCTTTTCAACATCCATTGTATAAACTTTACCATCTATATTTTAAAACAAGAAGTTGGGTTATGTACTTTTAGCATTAATTTTGGCTTGCAATTTTATCTACACCCTCGAAGTCACGAAAAACGTGGTGGGCGTTTTCCTACCGACTCATAAAGTGATGCACGAAATCGGTACTTCGGCGCTGCGGTCGGCTGACGTTTCCCCAAACTGCCCCCTTCCCTAGCGTCGGGTGTCTGGTGCGGCGCCGTGCAGGGGGGGGGGGGAGAGGCAGTTGCTGGTAGGCGGCCGGCAGGGATGCGATAACGCGTGGGCGCCCTGACCAGATTACTTACAATGCGCGCGACCATCGGAGTCGGGCGTGCATGGCAACATTAATAAAGCGATCCGGTGGTCGTATGTACAGATACGCTATTGCAATACACTTTCTAATCGTGTAGTACAAACCAGCTGAAGAGCATTTGGGTGCCGTCCTGGCACAAAAGTCAGGTGTCAGTAAAAATGTGGTATAAGTGATATACCCATATCATCAGCAAGACCTACAAGTGCCATATCAGAAAGCCGCAGTAGTGAAGACGTGCGCCAATCTATTTAACAAGGAGCGCCGAAGGGCAGGGAATCACGTTAACGATGAGCTCCAGCTGCATTCATCCAGAAACACGATCCGCACGGCACCTTGAAAGCCAAGGTAGCTCAACGCACGTGCTGCGAGAATCAAACTTCCGGAAAATTTCCTCAGTCTGGGCAGCCCGTAATGATATCGCCAGATTTCAACCAGCCATAGACACGCTTGTCACAGCCAGCGCGCGCCACGACAAAGGAAAGCAATACCAGCGCTGTCCACGCCCTGGTGCTCGCCCCAGAGACGCTGAAGAGGTGCCGATGGTGCTCCAAGCAGTATCAGCACCACTTCACCAAGCACATGGTCAGCCATATTCTTATTCGAGCAAAGCTCAGAGACGGCGATAGCAGTAGAGCAGCTTATTGCCATTGTAGCAAATATCGGAGAGACGTCGGTGAATAAAAGCTAATTAATGTTTCATTTCGTATGGGTAGCCGGCCGCATCGCGCAACAAAACTATCTTTGTTGATGCTTTAACACTCGCCCGGGTGGCCGGCTAGATAATACCCTTCGCTCGGGTTGGGGAGGTCAATTTGACCCCACTGAGATCTCGAGAACAAAACAAGAGAGAGACGCCAAACGTACAAGGTGGCTTGACCTGCACGTGAACTCACTTAAGTCAAAGTTTGAGCTTCCTAGGTCATGACTTTTATGTCAAATAAGGTCAAACAAGGTCAAATTTCAGGTTGGTCTCTAGAGTGCGCCCAGAACCTAGGCAACTGTTTCTAAGCAAAAGGTCACAAGCCCCTTTCAGAGCCGTGACTCTGTTTGACCTTTTGAAGGTCATGGTGACCAAGATCATACAAGACTGCCCTGAGTTTTGCACTTGAATAAGCGACAAAGATTACGCCACGCAATATGTTACTAAAACAAAATGTGGACCCGGGCCATCTTAGGCCAACTACCTGCTCTGACCGCTAAGAGGTCAATGGATGACGTATAATGTGGTTCCTGCTGTCAGTAAATTCGGAATGAGCACCACAAATCGTCCCATATAGCAAGCCCTAGAGTAATAAATCAGGTTGGCTTTGACCTTTGTCTGACCTTCATACCTGTCCTTAGGTCAACGTAATTTGTATATTTAATATTTGTGGTGCCTAAGAGAGCATCTCAGAGATGTATGGCGTCGTCAAACTCCGTTATTGGATCAGATTGGACGATTCCCTAGAAATTGCCTTCGCTGAAACCATGGCAGACTTTGACCTGCAATAGGTCTACGACCTTACAAGGTACATATACATTTGTTACGTCAAATGATCCGCTATTTAATTGTCTACAGCTATACAAAATTTGGCGTGGCCAAGCCGCGCTGTTCAGAAACCATTCTGGAAAAACCTTCGGGGGTCAGTTTGACCCCCACCTGAACGCGTGTTAAGTATCTAACAAGGAGCTCTTTGGTGCCTTCTCTCAATGACAATGGAGATATAAATTAATCAACTCGGTGAACGTAATTGGTTTGAAAATATGCATTTTTCGCTGTGGTTGGTCTACGTCCCCCCCCCCTTTCTCTCTCGCTTCCCGTTCCATTTTGGTGGATCTGCCCACCCCGGGAACGAGTGACTCGAGCGTCTTTATCGCGCTTGGCAGAGCCAGGGCCCTGAGAGCAAGGGCGGTCCCCGGCTGCGTGCACGCGGGGCTCTCATGACCTACAAACGGTGGTGCTGCTTAAAACGCAGGAGGCGCAACCATCGCCCTCGTAGACGCAGGGTTTTATTACAGGCTCTTACTGAGACGATGCACCATTGGCTTGCCGCTGTTGAACTCCCCCGTCGAAAAATAAAACATGGGGAACGTGTACCCATTATCACATAACATTGCCAACCGCAGTCATTCTGCAACGTACAAGTCATAGCAATGCATGTAACATCTAGCATGGTCATGACGAGCAGCACGTCAGCCTGGTACAGATGCCGCATCGAACAGGTGGCACCTCAGGTGTCAATCTCTAGGGCGCGTTCTGCAATTAATAACGTCGGCAATTCTTTCCATATGGCTGCTTCCCTTTGGCAGCGATTCCTGGCATGCTGCATGCAATGGTTCTGCACGTGCATTGCACCTATGCAAACACTGAAGGATGTGTGTCATTACCAATCGCTCCCCAGATAGGTTACGGCGTGCAGAGACAAAGCGGCCATGTAGGTCTTTCGCGCTTTCAATTAACAGATCACGAGGCACGTGGGTCCACTGGATCACCGAATGCTCATGTCATTACCCAGACATTATCTTATTTTACTACAAAGTGCTATCACCATGTCCGTGAGCATTTACTGTCTGTGCCGGCTTGGCTAGCTTAGCACCGGCCACATCGTTTTGTGTTTCGACTACCCGTGGGGCTATCCGTGATTGAGAGCAACTCACGGAAATGATGGGGCAGTGCACCAGGCCGATACTTAATCAAAACCTTATTGCCACGTGACGTGCGCCCCGAGGTTTGTCTCGTGTGATTCATCTTACATCACACCACAGAGCATGATAAGCTGTCGACGTCAGGCAGCCAGTGCACTACCGTGTCACATGTAAGGTGGCATTGGGGCTGACATGACCACAAGCCAACGCCTCCCTTCACTCTCCATCACCGCTCCCGAGCTGCGCTCTATTGTGACGTGCGGCATCCGCTCCCGCCGATCCCACACTCCACAGCTCGTGCCAAGTGCATCGTCCGACGTTCGGTGCTTCTAGTCTTCCCAATTACTGTTATTGGTCAGCCGGGCTGGTGGCTGCTGTCTTCAGTCCATCCTCCACAGCTGGTGTCGCGGGACTTTGGTGGTACCTGGCACCATGGGCCGCTGGTACTGAATCTTGGTGCAGTTTGCGGCGTACATAAACAGGACCTCCAGAAGCATGACCGCCAAACTAAGCACGAGTCCTGAAACATTTTGCACCATGTTGATTCGGCTACGAGCAATGATGGGCCGGAAGCATCCATTTACTTCAAGCTTCCCCAGGGACTTCAGGGACTCACACTGTCTGCATAAGGTTCACTCATTAGATGTCCTATGGAAGCAGCAATAGGTGGCTTTCCACTAGCTGAGTTTGCAGCAAGCGTCTCATTCATCGAATGCTCTGCCTGCAATAGATAATGGGCGATGTTTTATTGGGGGGGGAGGCAATACCCAAGCAAGATCACGCCACGTCAAAATTTTCGAGCATCTTCAAAAGCAAATCCATCCTCCGCTTGTGAAAAACCGCACCGCAGATGCTCCTACTGATCTGACAGGAACTGTGACAATGAACCTTTCATCGGGGAATCAAACCTCGGGCCCTGACAGGGAATGTCAAAACGAACAACAGCATTGATCTGCAAACCGACTGCACAATCCAATCCTTTGCAGCCGGAGTACGAAAAACCAAAAACACACGACGTTCACTTTTCAGCCACAAATACAATCCTTCCTTGCAGTTGTTATACCATCAAGGGCACGAAGCGAGTCGGAAGGAAAAGCACTGACGGGATGATAACGTCAGCCCTGCATCGCGGGGGACTCAATGGTCGCTCAATACACGCCCGTTTCAGATCTAAATCCGCCCAAAGTAGTGTTTCATATCTTTCACAGCGTGCCGATACTATCGTCGTTCATGGAGGCGCATGAAGGCATCTTTACAAGCCGGTTCCATGCCAGGTAAGGTGAGGGCCATGGGAAGGATTGCACATATACTCGGTGACCTAGCCAGATAGCCAAGCTTGTCGTCATGCATCGGATATCGTGAAGGTGTAGTGCAGAGGTCACCTCACCGTCAGGCTCACATATGTCATCGAGGCACGCGTCGAGGTTCTCAACCCGTCGACCCGGACGTCTGCGGGCGGTGATCGTCAACAGAACGACATAGATGTCATCGAGTGACTGACAACGGAACGCACCAGCAGGGACCATGAAGAGTATGGCGCCGAGATCGCCGAACGCCAGAGGGCGGACCACGGTGGATGAGGGGCACTCCTGGTTAGTGACGTTCCAGAACCAGCGGTTGTACAGACCTTTGATTGTTCCAGTCTGGTACAAGGCCTGCATACTGAAATAAACCGTAAATTTCCCTTATTAAAAACTTCTGCATCTATCAAACACTTCGCTAGCTTGCTAAGCCATAAGAGCAGGAAAAGTCAAGGGTTTTCCATTCAAAAGGCGAGTTTAAGAATAAAGAAAAGAAAATGCTCTCCGTCAGCATGCAAGCATATCCTGTGCAACATTTGAGTGGAAACAACAGTTTTTAAATTCCTGTCGAGCGGTTTCCAGGAGTATTTCCCACAAAGACTTGCTACACGCCGTTTGTGTTTGTGATTTGTGATTTCAAACCTACAAAGAACAAACAACTAGTCCAGGAAATGGTACGCTTTGTAATTGCGTTCGTAAAATCGGTGGTCACCACCAAACCATGAATGAAGGAAGAGAGGGGAGAGACAGAGAGAGAGAGAGAGAGAGGAGAGAGAGGAGAGAGAGAGAGAGAGCGAGAGAGAGAGAGAGCGAGAGAGAGAGAGAGAGAGAGAGCGAGAGAGAGAGCGAGAGAGAGAGAGAGAGAGAGGGAGAGAGAGAGAGAGAGCAGAGAGAGATAGAGCGAGAGGAGAGAGAGAGAGAAGAGAGATCTCTCTCTCTCTCTCTCCTCTCTTCTCTCTCTCTCTCTCTCTCTCTCTCTCTCTCTCTCTCTATATATATATATATATATATGTATATATATATATGCACTGAAAATACTCAACATACGACAGCACAGTTGAAATGGAAATCATATAACGTACCCAAACACAAATCAAGATTATTTGCAGCTGGATTCGCTAAGTATGTGAGTCCAGTGACATCTACTGGCCCCGCCGGTTAAAGAATGACGCCTGGCGCCATCGTAGCGATCCTCAGGCTGCACCTAAAATAGATTAACCAGGAATCCATCTGTCGCATGACGTTTCGCGTTACTGATACGTGACATTAATTCAGCCACAGTAGACTTAGGATGAGAAAGGACTTAGTCACCCACGATCCTCATGAAATCCCGTGTGACCCATGTCACTCAACAAGTCGACTTATGCCAATGGATTGAGTCCGATTAAAGTGTCTTCCTGTATGCTCAAAAAATTTAGACGGAGGTGGTAGGCTAGTGATCAAGGCATCACATGCAACAAATCATGTCTAATGCTTACTAAAAGGCCTCTAGTGGGCCCCAGGCTATGTTTTTTTTCTGTACCTGAAGAATTTTGCACTCCTCCATCTTTTCAGGTTCATCATCATTCTTTGGAACTGGCGCTGCCTCAAGCACATTTTCAGTTTACTCGCTGGTTAACAACAGGCTTAACTGTCGTTGATTTGAGATGATGATTTGAGCAGTCAATTCACACATGAATCATGACCACAAAATCCGCTGACATTTAGTAAGCTTGCCAAGGTCTGCTTGTTCAAATTATCCATAAATATGTTGATTTGTGCGTATAGACGTATCGCTTCATGAATTGTACTTGTTTGTTTTTTTGTAGGTGCATGTTTGATGAGTCGTATTTTTAAATGCACATGTACAATTCGCGAATTACAACTGAAAGAAAAGATAACTGCATTTATGATAAAGGCTGCTGATCTGAAGTTGCCTCTCCCGTCCCATGGCACCGTGACGTTGAAATTTCGTCGATGGGAAAAACGAGCCAAATGAAAAACATCATCTCGCCTGCTGCGCCATGCATGCCGCAGTAGCCGCGCGCCTACACTGTGCAAATGATACGATATGGCTACTGCGTCAGTAGGCCGGCTGCGTTTGTTTCTCTCTCATGGCAAGAGCCAAGCATGTAGGGAAATTCCATCTATTGTCGTTGTACAATAAAGTAATATGTTCACGGCCACGTGTTTGATCAATGATAGAAGTTGGCGGACATTCACTTCTTCAACACTTATCCGTTCATCGCCACTCGGGCCACCCGTCGTCCAAAAAGAAATCCCAGAAAACGTGCGGACCGGTCGAGAGCAATCTCACCAGTCAATTTCGCAGAGAGTTAGATATAAAGGCAGCACCATGTTCACGAATATGGAGCTTTCAAGGTCAAAAACGCCCGGTTTCCGACTGTCCTGTCGGGAGTTACCACTCCCCAATTATCGTCCCACGGATCCGCCCTCGAGACCGGGCACATCCCTCTTTCGTCAGTTAAGTGTGCGGAAAGGCGATGTAGCCGAAGTGCTGAGCTCGACGCTGAGCTGCTGTGCGACACTGTTTTGAGGAGAAATTAGATTGCGACCATAACTTGTCGAGGGCGCTAAACACGACAAGTTCTACTCATTGAAAGTGAAAGGATTTGGTGAAATCAACTAATAAGCTGTCGTGTCCCGTCTTCGGACCGCACCGATGAATACAAAACACAACGACTATCAAACTGTTTCTGATTGCGGCGTGGTACTTCCCAAACGTCGTGCTCTTGTTACTACATCAGCTAGTTCGCTTACACTCGGTCTATCTCCGGCTTGAGCGGCATGTGCTTCTGCATCACCAGGAACACCGGCGTGCCGGCTCTAGGCGGGGGCTGGGCGGAGCTGGAGCTGGGCTGCATCGGCAGGGAGACCAGCCCGCAGGCCCGCTCGCCGAAGACGATCAATGCCTGCCAATTAACAGCAACCGAGACTGAATTAGGTTCACGCTCCGTGCACACGCCCTACATCTGGTGTATTGTGAGAGAGTTGGAATGGTATTCCAGGTGAAGTGAGGGTTTGGTGCAGATCATTGGGGACCTGAAACGCAAACGGTAATTCTGTTATCGACGGGCTTTTGTACCTGAAGAAGCCATAGCGTGATGCGACAGCTAAAAGAGAGCTAAAAGGGGTTGAAATGTTTGACCAAACGTGCCTCAAATAACGCGATCGACGAACACTTTCGTCGAAGAATATGCATTGGTACAATAGCTATCTCATAGCACAAGTTCCCTACCATTTGCTCATGTCTACTACAAATATTGAATAAGACCGATATATTTGTGTCATATGTGGTCCTTTTGAATTTTCATTATTGCAAGGAATGTATTACAGAGGCAACGTAGTAAGGTAGATTACTATAGAGCGCATTGCTAAATAGGATACTAAATATATCCGGAAAACCTATTAACAGGCATAAGACAAAGAGCATATGGCAGCACGTGAGTCTTTTCGGCGCGTACCACAACCAGAGTACTGCGTACCTTACAAACATATGAATTTAAATTAAGCACATCAAAGTGGCACAGTGCCCACGAAGTAGGAGATAGATGAACGGAGGCTCATGCTTCAGAATGTTATACGCAGTGTTTACAACCAGCACGCATACTAAATACGCACGCACGCACGCACAAACGCACACACGCACGCACGCACGCACGCATGCACGCACGCACGCACGCACGTACGAACGCAAGAAGGCACCCATACGCACACTTACACACACATGACTATACGTGTACACACACACACACAACATATATATATATATATATATATATATATATATATATATATATATATATATACATATGTGTGTGTGTGTAATCAGTGAATATATTCTCATCGGCCACGCCGGTGAACTTACTCCAATCTCACCTGATCGCGATCGAAGGAGGTGACCGTCTTCGGTTCAAACATCTGTCCCATGGTCTCCGGGGTCAGGGTCTTGATCTGGCGTCCAGTCTGCATGCGCTCATAAAGTGTTCTCAGCGAGGCCTCCTTGCTCGTCTGAAAGCGCATAGAGTTGTTCTGGAGGAAATCTGAGGAGGCGGCGGCGCCGTCGCGGTTGCTCACAGTCCGGGGCAACGCAGCGTGCCACCTGGTGCTGAGCATCTGAGTCAAGTCATTTGCGAGTGTGAGTCTGGGTCTGAGTCATTTCTGGTTACGCCAAACCCCTGCTCATATCTGCACAATAAAGAAGAGTGTCAACAAATTTTGATAAATGGCATCATGATTGAGTGTGATAACTATGGAATGAAGGAAGGTCGAAGCCGTCGTCGGGAATCCTATCCAAATTGGTAGTCTTGGCGAAAGCGTGTTGAATGATGCCATGCCACAATTAGACTTTGCATCCGACGACCTAGGCGTCATCGCAAATCATCATGTGACACTACAACGGGAACAGACAGCCAATGCCACCAATCTTGTCGCAAACGCCTCGGCACGGATGCTGGACTTGTCACCCCAAACACCAGCGGCAGGTCACACCGACCTTCCAGTCACTGCTGTAGGCCACGCCCGGCTGGATGAGCAGCGACCAGTCGCTCCTGTCGACAAAGTCGTCGACCGAGCTGACCTCCGTGCTCGTCTGCAGCACGGTCATCACCGAGATGAGCGTGGCCGAGTACTCGACGTAGATGAGGATGCCGAGGACCCGTGCGGCCAGTGTGACGATGCGGCAGGAGGCGCGGCAAGGGGTGGTGGACCAGCCCTGCGGACAGGCGCAGCGTCTCAGGTCAACCCCTCCCATGGAGGAGCGATCGACGAACGCAGCGCACGTTTCAAGAGGCCAGCGGAGGTTTGTGGCAGGGCTTAAGTACACGGGTACTTAGAACCGATTGTGTGATGTGTTGAGTGTGTGCAAGCAACAGCTGACGGTGGTGTAATAAGACTGTGAGTACTCGATTTCTTTGCTTCCAGGCTGTTATTTTTGACGTAAGAAGTAAATGTGAGCAATGACGTCCTCCCCCGGCATATGAGGGGGGGGGGGTCGTGTTAAGGCATGCAGTGTTTCCAGAACCCAAACATCATTTTACGCGTGTGTTTTGGGTTTTTTTCATGGAGTTCTTGCATATTGATTCGTCACTGATTTCATATCCTTTACTTGCATTCATATGCTCGTTATGACGTTTTTCTTAAGGTGTCGATAACAAGTACTATTTCCGTCATAGCTCTTAACAGCGTTCAGCTTCTTTCATTATGTAGCACAAAACGCGATATTTTGCAAGAAATGTGCTCAAAATACAATATCGGTTGAGAGCCGATTTAAGTCCATTGGTGCCAGGAATTGTGGTAACGTACGCCAGACACGAATTACTTCTTGCTTACATTTTTTTGGCGTTGAACACCACGGGTCCATTGGGGTGGACATTTTTGCTCATGTATGTATGACGTCACGCACGCTTAGGTGAACTTGAAATAGTTTGTACGAAAGAGTCGGCACAAGTTTGTGAACGTCTAGCTCAGAAGCCAGTGGCTTCTAAGTCTTTAGAAGGGCAAGGCTGTAAACTGCACTGAACGATCTTCCGAATGACTATTTCTATACAGAACCCCATGCAAATGTGAAACAATCTCCGGTATAACATAATGATACCCCATTAATTATACTTGTAGTATGGAAGCAAAGCTGACCTGTTGAACTACGCAGGCGTAGACGTGCAGGAGGCTGGAGACTATGCCGAAGGTGCGGTCGTCCTCCAGGTCATAAGGCCGGGTGAAGGTCACGGTGACACGAAGCAGAACAGAAGCCAACAGCATCCCACCTACTGGCAAGGCGCCGTCAACGCGCATGGTTACCATGAGGCCGAATACCGACATCTTTTGTATCAGCAAGCACTTACCAGCCATGTGTGGCCATCGTTGGTTATCTATCTTGTGTGACCAGCCATGCGTGGCCATGTCGCCTTGGAAAGCCGTGTGTGCTCATGTGTGACCACGGCAATAAAAGCAGTGAAGGGAAGCGCAATGCGGTCTTCTGGCCGCAGCACCATCCGTGGCCACCTATGCCACTGTTGTACATACACTGTTGTAAGTCACCGGTATTTACTGCGAACGTCCTGCTTGCGGCATGATTCGTCAAAAGCCTCCCACCAATAAAAAAGGGTTAAAAGACAAAGACTGGGCATAAAGGCGGTCAAGGTGATGAGTGCAAATTCACTGCAAATGTATGTTGGATACTGCATTGTTCATAAGTAGACTTGAATGTGCTATTGTCAACTAAATAAATAATTATTATAGATAAGTAATATGATACCAACTGTATCAAGTCGGTAAGCCATTTTTTGGAACTATGCATGGTAAGTCGAGTTATGAGTATATATATATATATATATATATATATATATATATATATATATTCATATGCATATATACATATATGCATATATGTATATATATTCATATGCATACATACATATATGCATATATGTATACACACACACACACACACATATATATATATATATATATATATATATATATATATATATATATTACCACGTTCAAGGCTTAATCTTAAATGTGTTGAATAAGTGTAGCTTTTTTTACGATGGCAATATCAGCCATTGCAATCGTGGCAAAAGGCCTGAACAACAGTGACGGGTGTCGTACACGTTGTACAGCATGGTATGTAAGCTCGTATGTATGCATGGTATGCAGCTCGTAACTAGTAACGACAAAGCGGAAACGCATACGCGTATGCATCTGATCCGGAAGCTGACGTGAGTGCGCCGGGTTGCGTGCTCCAGCCTCGCCACCCGGCTGGCCTTGCTGCAAGCAGCGCGGACGGTTATTGTCACGTTGAGAGAACTAAGAAGCGCATGCGCTGTGGCATGGCCCGATCGTTGTCACATTAGGAGCGACAAGAAGCTACCAGATAAACCAGAGGTATGAGGTTTGATGCACCAACAGGAGGGATGGGGGACGCGTCCCCTCGGTCGTCGAGTAGGAACGGACAGTTCCCCTATCCTGACATCCTTTCTGAAGGAAAGAAATATTGCTTGCACAAATTTTCACTAACGGAGCCTATGTTTTTTCTTTACCACAACCCAGTCCCTCACATCGGTAGGTTTGTATGTTACGAACATAGGCAAGATGCTGCTAGAACTCCAAAGGACTGCTTGGCAGTATTCCTCTATACCAATAACATTTAATTTCTTCGTGCCTCGGGCTTAAACCTGCATTACAAGGTGACTGAATCATCGCATGCCTGCAGCCTATGGATACCACAACTTAGGCGATATTTAATAGTTTGTGGTGTAAAGGTTTAGAAAGGAAAACGTAACATCTGATATTTAATTTTAGCATATGGACAACAAGGCAATATCCTTATTCCTCCTGGTACGACTGCTATTATCGCGTGTTATCAGCACTTACCCTGTCATGTCATGCCTATTTTCTTTCTGAGAGGAAGAGCGAGCACCGCGGGGAATCGAGTCCCGTGTATCTGGGTTACAGTTGTGCAGGTTAACCACTGCACTCCTGCCGCATCCATCGATAGAAATGAACACAGATGAAAATATGTTTGTCAATATACTCACACAGGCATAGCCAAACGTTCGTGTGAAAAGGTGTGAGCAGAGAGCCGATGTCGTTCATGCTGGTCCGAGGCTGTCCCATCACCAGGAAGCTGATTTTGTCAATTGCGATGGGCACCTTGCCCACGAAATCGACTACTTGCTGTCGAGTGTGCCTCCACCTCATCGGAGCCAGGCCCACGTGCGCCGTCTGAGGAGGGAGGGTGCACGCTCATGTCACGGATGGCGTGGCTGCTCGCCTTAGATATCTGTGGAATATGTCAAGAATCGGGGCGATGGGCTGCGGAGAGCAATGAGATCTGGAAAGATCCACTGCGTGTCGAGAATGGTCACTGATGCTTTTAACGGGTGGGATGCCAAAACGTGGCTTTCAGATTTATACTTTGGGATCCAAAGCCCATTTGTGTAAAACTAGAGGGTTTATGCCCCTCCCCCCCCCCCCCCCCCCTCCTCATTCCAACCCACTGGTTACACACTTGACATCTGGTGTAGATGGCGTGGGCTAAGTGTCGGATTGTGCTAGGAGTGATGCAGGGTCAGACGCGTTTACCCCAGGCCAGTGAGTACGACATCGGGCCCAAAACCACATCGCCAGGTACCATGAGGCGTTCCGCTGGGTTGCAGCGGGGTGCGCGCTGTGCAACAACGATTTGCAGTTGTTCAAGTTTTCATTAATGGCATCTACGAATACTCTCGAGCCTTGCAAGAAGAATGGATGAAGTCCTGAAGATATGCGATGTTCCGTTTTACTATAAATCGTCCCTGCCCGACTGGCCACCTCCTCGCCAGCCACACGAGGGCCTACGCCCACAAAGCAGGCGTCCAGCACATCGAGACTGGCATCCGGAGTCAGACGACCCGACCTGCGGCCTCCAGCAACGGCGCGAATGGACCGCCAGACCGATGGGGTACCGCCCTCTGCTGTACGACGCCGGGTGCCGTCACTGGTGACGCGGCACAGCGCCGAGCGCACGGCGCGATTGAGCCCACTGTAGGTGTCAGAGCGGTGACTGTGCCGCGTCAGCGCTCGGCGGCGGCGCTGCATCAGGTCACGAGTGGTGCCTGTCACCACAAGGGTAGCAGGGTGAGGCGGCGAGCCAGGCGGAACGGTCCATGCGCGTCAGCAATTTGTGTAAAAGCGTGCGCAGAGTATGTTTCATGTTTGGCCTTGAATGAGTTTGTTGGAGAACGATTGAGCTTTTGTAGTAGCTTAACTGTGCATACCAAAATAAAGATCAGCACGTAGCCCTGTTTCTTAGGCCTCGTTCATTTAGTCTCACAATCTACAGCGATTCCATCTTGGTCGACAATGAGTTCATTATTTATCGGTCTCAGGTTGAATCGGAGGTCTGGAGAAACCTCAGCTCATAAGGAGCGACACAAAAGCACCAAAGCAGCCCTCCTTGCTATCATTTCCTTTGTCAAGGGTTGCGAGTGTTCAAGATTAACCCATTTTCATCCTTCGTAATCCGAAAATCCACATGTGTTTTCAGAGGGCCCGCTTTCACATAGAGCATGCAACATTCCTTCGAACGTAGACCCGATTGAGACACGGTGGCTGACACAAACACGGATGCTTTGTCGAGATTCCAGGCCGTTGGCGCAGTGGCATTATCACAAACAGGTTGTACTTGAAGAGACCATGCCACCTCGTTTGCACTCTTCACTTATTGTTAGATGAGACGCGTCTGGTTTGGTCGGTAATGCCAGTTTCTCAAAATATTTCCGAATAGCTCAGAATTGCTTTGTAAAGAAGTCGTTATTTGTGCAGGATGTTTACTGTTTTTAATAATTTCGGCTGAACCTATCCAGTTTGTCACTTGCAAAATTGCACAAACCAATAGTAAGCAGTGAACATTTCGGTGGTAGGAATGAGACATAAAGCCCACGAAACAATTTATAGCCCACAAAAAATATTGAAGTTACTTATGGATGCCTGCACCGGTTGATGTTGATGTCAAACGACAACCTGTGCATGATGGCTGTTTTTGACGGACTCTTCCAACGTAGTGTATGGATGCTGTTGTTCCGTGATTGTTACGCGGTATTTTGAAAAAAAGTCATGGGATCTTGAGTAGAACGTTGTGAACATCTTTGTTAGCATGCCACACTATTTCCAGCTTCCCCATTTATGGCTCAAGTGTACTGATCATCACCCGGCACAACTCCGGCACAAGCCATGCAACGTGCTATGCCGGCAAACCAAGATGGGCAAAGTAGGAAAATGAGCATATGTACTCAATTCAACATTCATCATTTTAGATGTGCGATGATCTCAAGAGCAAAGCACAGTGATGTTTTCAATTCCTACACTCATGCTGCAGAATGACTGTCGGTCTGTGCTGCTGAACCGGTCGCGCGAAATTGCCACCCTACCTGGCACTCATTTGCAGTACTTCGTTCTCCCGAGAGATGGCTGTAGCAGCGCTGGGATGTTTGCTGAACCAAAGATTGCGTTGTGATGGTGTTTTGACACTTCCTTACGATGTTCTTGCGCATTTATCCGAGAGAATAGTGTGCTAGCTTGTATTCGCGCGCTGGGCTGTGGCGCTATTCGTAAGCCACTCGATTACAAGTTTTGTCTCCGTGACAACCAGGAACCACGCCCAACCTCTTGCATTTTGTAACACAAAACGTTATTCATGATTGAAGTTTGTTTAGCCCGCACGACATTGATTGAGAGCCAACCGATGTTCCTCATATTTAGAAATCGTGCTCACGAACACCAGGTATGAATGGCTCAATGGTTTTATTCTTGTTGGCCTTTAACGCCGCATAACCAATGAGGTGGCAGGATTTGAATGACGTTTCGATGGAGCCGTGCATGCCTGGATAATTTTGAAATAGTCTGCACGAGAAAGTTGCGCATATTCGCGGCAGTGAAGCGCAAAAACTAGAGGGCTTTATGCATCGAGAAAAGCAGGGCTGAAAACCGCACCGAACGATCTTCAAAATGACTATTTCAGTTCTGACCACACAAATGTGAAACGCTCTCTGTACTTGCCGCTGCTGCTCGTTTCGCTGCGTGCCACGGCTTCCACAAGTGGAGCACTTTCCGCAGAGACATAACAGACATTCGCATCTCAGCAAGGCACATTGTGTCACGATTAGTTTCGGTAAGCTTGCGAGGGTTTCATCAGTCGGCAGCCCATGTGTTTTGGGACGCCTCATTTGTTGTTGCTCGAGCTTTGCGGAATGTTTCCATCGACTTGGCCTTTACACAACATTGCTTTTCTACATATACGAAAAATGTCTCCCAGCCAAACGCCAAAATCCCCCTGTCGCGCGTGCTGTGACTAACACCGGTATCGGATGAGGGTGAATTTAATTCAATTCATCCATGAATTGAATTCATGTGGAGCGTCCTGAAGGCTGAGACCGTCGTATGTGCGTCTTTCACGACAATCCCGCCAGCTGTGATGTACATCTGGCTGAGGCATGTGCTCTTACACAAAGAAAGACACACGCTCTTAGCTTAAGCATGTTACAGTGAGGTCCCGAACAGCGTGCATGTTGATGCATACAATTATGCGACGGGCGGCTACCCCCGCAAAATGGCTTTTTGTCTTCCATCGTGGGCAGGTACGAAAACGGGATCTGTGGGTATTTGGCATTGTAGTAATGGGGCTCAAAATTTACGCAACTGTTTTTGAGGCTGAACCTTGGCACGTTTTTTTTTTTGCACGCGGTGCGGCGCGACACGGGATTTGCGCGCATGTCGCATGAATGGCTGGCTGTCGTGCGGCAGCCGAGAGGTTCGGTGCAGTGACATGCGCCTCTGTCCGGCTTCAAAGGAGGCAAACGGTGACGAGAAAGAAAGCCATCTGAGTTAGATAAGTTAAAGGAATGAATTTCATACACAAGCCTGCAATAAGTAGCTTGGTCATTTAACGTCGCCTTGCTGTCATTATTTTAATTCACACGAGAGTGATTTCACTGATTCTATCAAAAACGTTCCTCGGTGCCTATGGCCGGCTGCGGAGCACTGCGAACATAAAAATCGCTGTCTACTTTTAACATCGCGAAGCACGGCGAAATTTCATTATTCCAACAGTGGGATTAGCACACATCAAAGCACAGCTGGCTGATACCCACACCTGAGAGAGGGAAACGGCCTAGCATTTTCCGGCGTACCTTTTCCATTGCTTCTAGCGCTGAGGGTGACTGTTATTTGGAAATCAACAGTGGGGGTGGGGATAGGTGGTGGCATGGATCTCTCGAGATGCGACGCTTCACCATGATTGGTACCATTATTTCTGGGCCTGCAATATTCCCAAGATCCCATACAAAAAGCTAACGACTCCCTATTTTTTCATCTGTTTATTCTTAGTGCTGATAGAGGACCAAGGCCGCAGATCGGGTCCATCCTCACTTGGGCCCATGTTCATGATTGTTGCGCCCATGTATATGATTGCTGGGTCCATGCCCATGATTGTTGGGTCCATGGCCCATTTTCGTGCAAATGAAGAGCGCTCCCTGCGCCATCAATGCGCCTACCCTTGTTCACAGGGCGACCCAGTATCGTCGATTGTATTACTTTCAGGCACAAACTAAATGTCTTAATCAGCCACATAGGTACTCTTCCCACGGTGTCACGTTTGATGCATATGCGTATTAAAAATGCAATCAAGTGGTCAAAGCATGATGTCATGATTTAGTCTGTCAATGCTGACAAAAACAAACAATAGGATTGTTGAATAAAAATGTTGTTTACTCGGTATCCATGGCAACCCGCCGTAAACGTGACGCCTTCCGGCTGTCGCGTCAGGTCCCGTTGAGCTGCATTGAGTTACATCCAGTCATGCCTCGTCACAACGCATGAAAAATGCAGGGTGGGGCGCCATGTTCATTCTTCTGAATGACAACACCAGTGTTTCGGACAGCACCTACCTCAGCGGGCGGCTACGTTGCCTCATTCAGTGATCTAGCTGAATTAACTGTCTCGGTTGGCGTTATATCACCAGTTAGTGTGTCCGATAACGAAAACACACATGCTTTGATGTATTTGGTCAGGTGAGATGGCCGGTTTATTTGCTCGGGAGGCATATCAGGAGGGGGTCTCGCTGCATTTTAAGCCTGGGGTATGCTCAAAATGTTTAGAGTCCGAAGTTCTTCTGTTTGTTAATACCTTTAATACACCAGGAGGTGCCGGCTGAACGTCGTTGAACTTAATATCAATTACAATGATGG